CCCCCCCCCCCTTTTTAATGTTTTTATTTTTTTTTATTTATATTTATTTTTTTGCACTTATTGTTATTGCTATTGTATAGGGGATACCAATCCTATATAATAGCAAAGGCACACTGACAGGTCCTCTTTATGGAGACATTAGGGGTCTCTAGGACCCCTAATGTCACCTGTGGACCCCAAAAGAAGCTGATGAACGAGCACATATAGGCGATCGGCGGGCTATGGAGCCGCTGATCGCCTATATGTGAAACACCCGGTAACGGGTGTGTGCAGTGGTCGGGTCTTTTCTGCCCGTGCGTGCCCGCTAGGGGGCGCGCACAAGCAGAAAAAAAATGCCGTCTGGAGACGGCAACCCGCCAATGCTGCAGTGCCGTCAGTTTTTTAACAACGGGTGGACGGCAAGAGGTTAATGAACTACAAAAAAATGATTTTATGGTAAGTACAAAAATCCTGTTTTCTCTGCGTTCATTAAGGGACTCTGGTTTGCTGCTGCTCATATATGTAAATACTTTTGTCTTTTGCACTACTATATTGATTAGTAGTTTGTAGTTGTCTACAGTTATGGATGAGGTTTTGGCCACTAGTATGTGCTGCCCTCTGGGCTGTCTTTTTTTGTCTACTCCTGCTATACTCCCAGTTGCTGAGGTTTCTGTTCCCATTTTTTCCAGAACTAAAAAAATAATTCGTTGTGGATAACGTTCCACTTGGTTATTCTTGGGTAATGAATGCATAATGGTACCGAAAACATCCATGATTTGCATTTTATTTGTTTTTCATTTTTCTTACCTGCAATGATGAAATGGCTCTCACAATGACTGCAAAATCATAGGTTAAAGTGTATCTGAACCCAAAAAAATATATTTTGGATGTTTTGCCCTTAGATGTGATGTTTTAATTTCCTTTGTTCAAGTTTTTCTTTCCTTTTTTATTTGCACTGATCTTGCTAGTAACACAAAATTTGTACTAGTGACAATTTTCACTTCCATCACTATCTATTAAGAAACGGCATTGTCACCCTAGCCTGCTTTCTTCATTTGGTCTGGGAACCTCCCCCCCATCCCCAATACATAAGTGTAGATGTTTTGTAGTTTTCAGTAGAGGATAGCTGGGAAAGCTGATAACTGTATATTAGATATTCACTGTACAGAAAGATACAAAGACACTGGAATTCTGGGAAAACCCACAGGTATTTTTCTTTACTTGCAAAAAATATTTTTAGCCTGAAACAAAAACTAATGCGGTAACCACATATAAGGAATGGTAAGCGGAAAAAATGTTTGTGCTTAGGTGTTTGTATCCTTTAAGGCAAGTTATCAACAAAAGACAGATGTTAACGAATACTGTTCCTATTTGTCCTTTTGTATATGTGTGTGTAGCATATCAACATCAAAGACCGAAGCAGCCGCAGCAGCAGCAACCTAAATACGGTTACCAGGAGCCAGTGACCCCAGTCGCTACCCAGCACCCAGCCTCTGCAGGAGGAGTAAGTACCATTTCTTAAAGTGGAACTTGAAGAATTATCTTTTTGAAAACTTACATTGGCTCAATGTAATATCTGATATCCGGATGGCTGCTGGGGATGCCACCCCATCCAAACTTTGTCCACTTGGGTGCGTACTACTATAGTGATTTTCAGCATCCCCAGCGGTCCTGTGGATATCATATTTAAGCCAAACTGGACCAATGTAGATTCTTTAAAGTGATTTTGATTTGTGCCACTTGTTTTTTTTTTTTTTTATTGATTCAGTTGCAATGGGGGTTTTAATAACATCCATGAGTCAGTTGGATTATATCTCCTTTTGCAGGAGGAGGACACTAGGTGCAGCAAAAAGCAACCTATGGGGTCAGCACTACATAGTGACTAAACTTCATCTCTGCTAAAGAGCTCAGTTTTATCCTAGTGTTAAAGTTCGAAGGACAGCAACATGGTTCCAAAATCTTTTCGTAGAGTTGTGTTTTTTTGGGAAATGTTATTCTGTTGATCTTCAATTAACAGCTAATTGGAAGACAGGCTTAAGAACTTAGATCCTTGTAATAAGTTTAGCCATTGAGTCCATGCAGATCCTTGATGGCATAGATCAAGATTCAATGCAACAAATCTACTTGAAACCCACTAGTGGTGACGTCTGTGTCATGCTTCTGCTGGTGGATTACATATGACTGGTGGTCCATAATTGCCTGTCACAGTAGTCCCTTGAGGCTGCAGAGCCTTGGACTCCCTTCTTGAAAGCTGGCTGCATGTTCCCTATTGGCAGTTGCTCCTTATTGGCAGGAACACAGCACACCAGGGACTGTTCCACTGACCTGACTTCCCAACCATCCTGAGTACTGCTTGTCAGGAGGGTAGGTTGCACCTGTGGTAAGTATCTTACCCCTGCTGCATTGCAAGTATATTGTGCTTCTCTTTGTTGGCAGTGCTTTTAGGGCCCTGTCACACCAGCTCCGGTGCGCATCCCGGCCGGCTTCCTGCGTTCAGGGGCGCCCGCAGTCCCGGTTCAGTGCGTTCTGAAAAAATAGTGCTTGGAGCATTTTTAAAGATCGCATTGGACCGGAACGCACGCATTTTGTAATGCGTTCTGGTGCGGGTGATCGCACTGCCGGCGGAGGGCGTTGCTGTGTTGTCATCGACTTCAATACATTGCCCCGCCCCTGAAGAACACAGGAAGCCGGCCAGGTTACGTTCCAACAGCAAAGCGTGCTGGAAAGCACTGGAGCTGGTGTAAACCAGCCCTTAGGGGCCTTCGTCAGGGCAACATAGTTGACGCACAAAAAAATAGGACTGGCTGTTTAATAACAGTGGGCCACATAGTGATGCAGAATTCATTATCTGCATGTGCTAGTTGTTATATTAAAACTGATGGTGCTAAGAATTCCTCTGTACAGCCAAATCAGTTTCTGGCCATTTCATTAATAATCACATAATTTATTTAATAACATCTTTAAATAATCCATAAAAACAATGCATGGGTAACATTGATATTGCATATTCAAACAATGATTTCAACAATAAAGATTGCCATAGTCCTTATATTCTCAAGACATTTTTGTTTACTACTTCTTTGTGTTCCACTTGTAGTTTGACGCATTTCACTCTATTGCTTCATCGGGAGCCACAGGTAGATTAATCAACACATGCTGAAGATTATTGGCCTTCAATCTAAGAGGAAACATGCCTCCTGCCGCCATTTTTTGGGGACTTGGGGGGGGGGGGCAGCATATCCATATCCACAGAGAGCCTTCATATAAACATCCATTATATAGAGCAGTGGTTCTCAACCATGGTAACTTCAGGAACCACATTTGTCCTTGGTCATTAGGACCCAAGTTGCACTGCAATGTTCCATGTTGCGGTACTGCACTTTCCGGTGCAGGCGATCGAACTGTGGGTGGGAGGGTTGCCATTACGGAAATTGAAGTGGATCCTCAACCTGGGGTCCAGTGTGGTCTGCTGTGCTGTGATGGTGCTCCCTTCATAGGTGTATTGCTTGTAAAGCTCTCGTGCGCACCCCTAGAGGTGGCGGGAGCCAGAATGTGATGAGCTGTAAGCAAAGCACTTATGAATGGAGCTCCCTTGCGGCCATAGCCCCACCTCAAGTCGACACTGGGCACGGGCATCATATTTTTAAATGGCTGCTTGGTGTGAGAACTGACAGTGCTTCTCTAGGGGGAGGCTGAGGATCCTCTCGCCTAGAAAAGTGGAAGGCATGTGGCGACCCACTGGACATGGGGTCACGACCCACTTTTGGGTCACGACCCACCAGTTGAGAGCAAAGGATATAGAGTATAGTTTTTTTTTGCCCCATAAAAATCCCCATCCATCTTCTCTCTAGAGGAAATGTATGTTGTTCAGAAAGCCTCAGTTTTACAGAGGTCAATCTCAGGCTTCCGTCACCTTTACATAGCCTCAGGCTTGGATGTCCTGAGCATGTGAACGGGGCGGGATATAACCAGAGCACCTGCGTTTTTGAACTGCTCGCCATCTTAAGAGAAGAACGAATACAAAAGAGAACTAAGCACTAATATACCCATAATGTAGAGGGACCCACTTACTTCAACGGAGGAGCTTACATGATCTGGACATCCTGTTCTGAGGCTATGTAAGTTGAAGGGTACTGCAAGGCAGAAATGTTGACCTCTAAGCCACTGTGCTTCCCTTAGAGGAATCCTCCTCCTTTAAGGATTCATCAGATAGGAAGCTGGGGTTAGTGGCTAGGTCTGGGTTGCAGGATCACAGGTCTTGTCTGGTGTTTCTGTACTGCTGTCCCAGATAATTAGAGTGGATGAGGCTTCTATGCAAGGACTTGGCAAATAAACAAATGATGTCTCAACTGATTGGTCTCACAGACCAAATGTTACAAGGTCCTAAGCCATGGGTGGACAATTTTAATAACACTTTGATAAGTACTCTCAGAGCTGACAGCTTAAACTGGAGGGCCAAAAACAGATAGTGAGACAGCCTGTCCAATTCGGATGTCAGCTGGATTTTTTTTAGGAGCCAGCTCTATTGACGGCAACCAGCGAAAACCTCAAACATTAAGTGCCATCTGTAACTTTTAAAGGAGCCTTGGCTACCCGGCTTCTGGAATTTGTCCAGCCCTGACTTAAGTATGTGTTGTGTAAATGTTTGTGATGCGGCACTTTATTCTGGGGTACTGGTGTCTCACCACTTTGTCGTTGCATCTGTGTAGGATACTCTTGTTTAAGGGCTGATCTACTGGATCTGCCATTTTTTTTATCACCCATCTGGCACGATGTTGGGCAAGATATTTGAAAATCTAACAGATCAGACCTAAGCTCTTCCCAGTTTTAAAAAAGGATTGGGCTTGGCCAGTCAAAGACCTGAAGGTGCTAAATGCCTTAGAGTGGATACACTGTTTTTATATGGAATCCGTTCACTCTGTGGTCACATCTCTTTATCAAGGGGACTGTTTGACATTGATTAATATCAAGCATGCTTAACTTTGTGAACAGGTCTTTCCTAGTGACCAGTGGTTTCTTAAGTTTGCAGTGGGGAAGGATCGCGATCTGTTTCTGGTCCTTCTGTTTAAGCTAATATCAGCTCTGTGAGTATATATCAAAGTGTGGGCATTGCCTATTCTATGGCTAAGTGGTATCTCAGTGGTCGGATACCTCACTGATCCTGGGCTCTGAGCAAATTGTCTTAGGATCTCGAGACAAATCTTCACATTACTCTTGGGTTTTGCAGGAGGAATTCGGTTAGCGTCTACCTCTCTAATTTTGGACACTAGTTTATTGAAAGCTCCAGAAGTTGCAGGATCAAGTTAGGCTTTTAAAGACGTCCCTCTAGTCTTCACTGGGTTGCTGCATGAAGGTCCTAGAACTCTTCCTGACTTTCTTTGAGGCTTTCTCCTTTGCACAAAAGCATTCCAGAGGACTACAGCAGGAAATTCTGAGGAAATGGGAAATTTGTCAGTATCCCTGGGCATGGAATTAAGGCTGAGCTTTCAAACAAGTGCGTCTCTGTACTTGTGGCTTTTGTCTGATGTTTAACCCCAGGAAGTAATTTCTACTACTCCGTTAGAAGGTTATGACAAAGGATTTAAATCTGCTCAGCTGGAGAGCAGTCCTGATTGCCTTCATAGTGCAGAATCTTTGGGTGTAGAAGGTACATCTCTTTAACATCAACATTTACAAAAGTCGAATGATTTTGTTGACCCTTTTGTTGTGTACAAAAAAGGCAAGAAAGAAGCACCACAACCTAACACATTGACTGGTTGGATGAGGGTAAGTGGATAGATGTAGGGAATGCACTTACAGAAGGAGCAAGGTGTGAAGATCTTAGAGATACTCTGTGAGCTGTCAGCTGCTACATTGTATCTCTCACTGGGTATGAGGAGCTGGTGCTGTGTCAACGAGCTGTGGCTGGCAAAAAGTGAGATGGAAACAAAAAACAGAACAGCGGGAGATGATCATAAAACCAGAGAAGAAAACAGTGAGAAAGAAGAGAGTATTAATATGCACTCGAGACGGTCACATTGCCACAGGGATCCGGTCCGGTTCTCTCCTGTTTGAAAATGCCGGCTCACAGACCCGCAAGGATGGAGCGCTGGAGAAACAGGGTGCGAATGAGATGGATTACAGGAGAATAAGGGAAAATAACACTACAGTATGATTCCACATACTGCAAGACAGTATTAATACTGGGAGTACTGGCACATCGCTTTCTTGAAAAAGTATTTAGTTAGGTATCTCCCCCAGAGACACTGATCTTTGCTACAAATGGCAACTCCTGGCTGAATTCTGCACCAAGAAATGGATTCTGCTCATTATCCAACAAAGAGAGCGGAAACTCCAGTCCAAAAAACACAAAATTAGGGACTACATAGCACTATCACAGAGCAGTTCAGTAACTCTTGCTTTTCCCCACTTGGATGGCCACTTTGGGTAAAAAAAACATCCTCCGATTCGAGGACCATTTCTTGGGATTGCGGGTGAACTGGTCGAAGTCGCATATCTTAACACTAGACCCCTTGACTAGATCTTAGGCAGATCCTGGTCTTCCTCTGCAGTGGGTGGACTAAGTTAAATATCTTGGTTACAATCACAAAATCTGTTGGGAATTTCTACCATCTTAATCTGCTTCCCTTGCTCCCAACAATAAAGTGTAGATTGGGCGCATCTGCGTTTGACTCTGATTGGGAGAACCAACCTTATAAAAATGAAGGTCCTTCCGGATGACAGCGGCTCTGTGGGTGGCCGAGCGGAGGATCGGTAAATATCAGTGATATTTACCGGTCCTTCGTGTGAAGAACAAACACCGGAGTGATAGTCTGTAACTAATTGGGGACACAGTACTATGTGCCCCAGTATGAATGAAAAGGATGTGATTTACATCACTTCCTGTTCATTCATGAATTTCTGAATGGGGAGTAGCACTCAGTACAGAGACTCCTCCCCATTCATAAACCGCTTGATAGTAAATATTTTACTCAGCAGTTTCTGAATGAATGGGAAGCCTCTGTACTGTACTCTGTACCCATTCATTTAGTGCTGGGGCTGCAGAAAAAGAAATGGAGGACTCTATGTCCTCCATTTCTTTTTATGTACGCCAGGCACATGCGCTGCAGTGCATTGTTAGAACGCATCGCAGTGCATGAGTTTTTGTCTTTTTATTTTCCTTTTAAAAAAAAAACATTTAACTGGCAGCGCATGGCAAAGCTTTGTGACACATTGCTGTGCGTTGTGATACCTTGTGTTGCAATTAAATGTACGCCTGTATCATCACAACACAACGCAAAAACAATTTTTAACATAAATCTTTATCTACAGTTTTGCGTTCCTTCATTTTTTTTTACCTTTTTGCAAAAAGGCGCAATTTAAAATTTCAAAATATTTATTTATTAACTCAATACAGTTTTATCTTTTAGATTTAGTCAGAAAATATTTTTTTTGTGTGTACTGATTTGCAAACGCCCCCCACCGCCGCCATAAGCATTTAATCTCGGTCGCTCTGCTGCTGCAGCGGCCAAGAGGGGAGAGATGAAGTCCTTGCCGTGGCGGGGGGCGTTTGCAAAGTTATCAGAGAGGCCTGGGGGGCAATTGCCACCCTGACCCCGGGTCTAGTCCGCCCCTGGGTCAGACTAATCCAGCACGTTAATAATATGAGTGCCCCACTCAATATGGCCGCAAGCGAGGGGCATACTGAGTGGGGCAACTCAGATTAATAACGTCCAAAAGATGTGGACTGGGAGGGGGGTTCTTTAAGACTGCTCAGAATCACACCGCTGAACGATCACCTCTTCTCCCGACCGCTTCAGCTCCAGGAAGCGGGCACTCAGAGAGGCAGCTACGATCACACCTGTCAGCGTTCCCTCTCTCTGCTCCCGGCCGCTGCAGCTTCAGAGCGGCCAGAAGGAGAGAGAGGGAGCGATAACGGGTTTAATCAGAGCCGCCGCTCTGAGTGGAGCTGAAGCGGCCGGGACGAAAGAGTGAGTGCAGAGAGCTAGCTCCGGCTCTGGATGGAACACTACCGCCGCGGCGCTCGCTCGCTTCTGTTCTCTCTTCTCGGGCTCGGCCGGTCTGTAGCTGCAGCAGGCGAGAAAGAGAAGAGAAAACAGAAGCGAGCGATTGCCGCGGCGGTAGTGTTCCATCCCTAGTCCCGCCGGCGAGGCACCATTGCTGACATTCCAATCGCCCAAAGGGGAAAAGTTTGAGCCTGTAATAAAATAAATGTGAACCCTGGTAAAATTTGAGCCATCATTGCTCAACTCCTGATTACAATTTTATAGTTCCCGAGACGCTGATCAGTACAAACATTCAGTCAGGGAATTTGGAACTTACAATGCATATGCACAATATATATGCTTGTTGCGGGTCATTGACTCGGAAAGTATTAAACTCAAAGTTTGTTTGAAAGTCTGGTAACGAACGTTTCCAACAGTGGGTCAGCGATGGCAGCCTACCAATTTCTCTCATGACAGATTTCTTTTAACGGAGGATTACTTATTACATTAGCTGATATACAAATTACCATTTAAGAGTAATCTCCAAACGCACAACGTGTACTTATTGAGAGCAAAAAGGGGCACAGAATGGGGCCCCAACCATAATTGTTGAGTTTGGTATGAGAAGTGCTACATGTATGTCTGGAAACTGAAATATCTCACTTATCTTTCCCTGGTTTACAGAAGCGTTATCGAGCTGTCTATGATTATAATGCAGCAGATGAAGATGAGGTGTCCTTCCAGGACGGTGACACTATTGTCAACGTGCAGCAAATCGATGACGGGTGGATGTACGGAACTGTTGAGCGCACAGGGGACACGGGCATGCTTCCTGCCAATTATGTTGAATCCATCTGAACAGAGGATCATGCATCTCTTTCTCACAGAAAATCATGAATCATTCCAGTGCAATCCTCTCCCAGCTATGGGAAGGATGGGCTCCAATTTTCTTTATAGCATTCTTTCTTGAACGCCTCTCTGCTTCCCTTTGGTGGCAGAAGAATAAATTACCTCTGGCTTCATCTTTTAGACAATGAAGGGACCACATTGGGCAGAGGTCTCCTTCAACACCTCCCCTCTTCTTTCTTTTCTGTCAGATTGACTTGTTTATGCGCTTTGCACTATTATAAAAACACTTTTACCATTTAAAAGGAGCGGACTAGTCACTTGGACATTTTTCCTCTGATATTTTTTCTTCATCAATTATTCTTCTATGAATTTGTACCCTGAAACTGAGAAAAGTTTGCCCCATTTCAAATATAGCTTCCAATTTTAAAAGAATTTCCCTTTTATTCTTATATAATAACAGTTAACACCCCATAGCTTACATAGCTAAGTTAGTATGTTCAGTTTATAAATGCGAGGTAGTGTATTGCTTGTACACCTCACTCATCACCTCATTCGAATTGCCTTAGAAAAACATTTGGCAATTGCACAGCCACCTGCAGGACTTTCCATTTTGTCTGCTTAGCTTAACCTAAATACTGTCTCATCAGGTTGTAATAGAAGCCTGCTAACTAAATTCGTGATCACAGAAATGGGAAAAGTCACCAGCACTCCATGCAACAATGACAGAATCCATGTTTTATTTCCATTTACTGTCAATTTAAGTGACCCTGCGTAGTACCAAAACGTTGACCAAATGACCTATGTGACATTATGTAGATAAAACGACATTGATTCTTTCATCCATGTATGGAGTGCTGATGACTTTCCTAAGCCTTTTAAAGCAGACACCAGTAAGCACCCACTGTCAGGGATGGACTTCAGGAAGAACAAGTCCCCAACATAAGCCATTGTGATTAAAGCCTAACTCCAGGTAAAAAAAAAAAAAAACACCCTAACAGTGGTGCTACCCCTGCACTGAAGGGTTATTTGCTCATTTTTGTCTAGTGGGCGTAAAGGACTTTTACTTGCATGATTCCAGCACCTGCCGTCTCTTCAAACCCCTTCCTCCTGCTCCAGCAGTCAGAGGCTTGCTGATGTCATCACAGACACAGCGGAGATCATGTAAGTAAAAGTCCTTTTCACAATACCCCTAGATGGAAACCCACTGCAAGGGGTTTTCCCCCCAGATATATGCTTTAAATATTCCTCTTCCAAAAACATAATTTTTTTTTTTCTAAATTTTTTTATATATAAATACCCAATTCAATATATTTTATAAATATATGTATATATTTCCATTCCATTTTTTTCTTTGAAAGGCAACAGTAGAATTCATGAGGTATAAGAAAAAAATTAGATACTTAATTGTGAAAATTGTCCCATGATAGCCAAGATGAACAAATGTGGAGGAGCTTCACAAGGACCATTTTGACCCTTAACGTGTTGTTTTTTTCTTGCTGACAACACCCATGGCCTTTTAAATTTTATAGTGGATAAAGGTTGTCTGGTGATAGAGAGGTGCATTTTTGCCTTGTGGCACAAAGCCTAATAAAATCTAGTATACATTTTCTTTCAACAGTCTTTATGTGAAAGCCACGGAAAGCTGCTGAAATATTTCTGTTGATGTTTTTTTTATGGTGCAACTATTTCTTTAAATCATAATTTGGGAAAAAGGACAGCAGTCTTCTGGTGCCAATTTGCTACGCATGTACATCCTACTAGATGCTCATTGAGCCAAATATTTGCTGCCTTTTACTTTATCTGCCTTATGAACGCTAATTTCTTCCCTCACAGGCTTGGATATTTATGCCCTGTTGTGGTATATTTTGGTATATAAAGATGCTCACAGACAAAAGATTAAAAATTGAGCTTAAGAGAGGAGACAGACTACAACATTGAGGACCAAGCACAAGTCATTCCAGTATTCAAGATATCACATTTAAAGCACAATTACAACTGAAGTAACTAGAACATAATGTGAATACCCCTGGAGGGACAGATGATTCCACAAAATGCCTGAATGAAATACTTTGTACATTCCATTATATGCAGTGTAACATATTTTAGTCAGAAGTGCTAGATGGGTGGGTGTGCCAGTGACAAATCTGTATTCTTGCAAAGACACACAAACACTATACATAACGCCTACTGACATTGGTGGGATTGCAAGTTTTTTTTGCCCGTCAACCAATCATGAGCACATTTTCTCCTAACTAGACCAAGCTCTCTCCTATTGCCCCTCATTCAGTGCATTTGCACTCAGCGTGGGATTGTGGAAAGGAGACATGATATTCCCACATTTTGTCATTCCCCTCCTTCTGAAGCCTTACAGTCTTGTGTATGTATCAGTCATTGCTTAACCCACTTTTTCAGTTTAATTTTTTTTTAATTATCTCAAACTGGAAAATCCTTTGTACTGCATTGCTTGGGCCTATAATCATTTAAAGAAGGAAAACAATAATGCATCCACCAAGAGAAACTTTCTCAGTTTACTTAAATTTAAAATAAAATTATCATTTTTAACTGTGATGTCATTGTGGTTTTATTTGGAATGGGTTTTTGTGTCAATTTGGTTGAAATGTAGAATTTTTTTTATATATCTTTGTATATTGTCAAGAATGTATATTGCATATGTGTGCAAATAGTACACTTTCAGCTTTGTGCCATTATGAAACCGTATTATTTACTGAAAAAAGGTATGCTACATTTTGTTTCCAACCTATCTCCAGGTAAAAAAAAACTACCCTTGCATTGGGTCTGCCCCCACACTGCAAGGGTTACCTGCTCATTTTTGTCTAGGGGGATCTGTGTAAAAGAATCTTACTGATCCTTGCTCCTGCTGACTCCAAGACTGATGCCCACAGGCTCTTCCCAGATCTACTGCAGTTATTGGAGGCCCGCTGACATCAGGTACAATGCAGGGCCCTAGGGTCTTGCAAGGTTAAATAAAGACTCGGATCAGTTCAACCTATTTGTGTGCATGTGTACACTCCTGTATATTGTTTTCTCTTAGGAAGACATCTACAAGTTTTTGGAATATTACTGTAAAGAATCCCCTACGCGGATGGACTTATTGCACAGTTGTCAACTTATCACGGTACCATGCTTGAATTCACTGAGCCCCTTAGAGCGACCTATTCTTTCACAAATGTTTGTAGAAGCGTCTGCATGTCTAGGTGCTTGATTTTATACACACACATAGACCAGCGCCAGCTTTTTCAATCTGTGAGAAAAGCTGAGTCTCCTCTTCATCCTTTGTTTGTGGGTGTATGCTATGGGCCTCCAATCTGTTTGCAATTCATGTCAGTCATAAAGATTCTGCACTGTCACAATTCTCATTAGTCATGTCATTGCTCGCATTCACTTTCAGATTGCTCTTCACATACAGCCACACCCCTGTAGAAGTCCTCATCGGGTAACAGAGGTTTTCCCTCTATTTTGTTAGACTCCTTGCATACCCCCTTACATACATTTTGTGCTAGCATTAACTATTTTGTTGTGCATTCTTAAATTGCTATTACATTTCGGGCGATTTTCTGCATTGGGCATAGATAATCTCACTTCCCCACTGACTGGTTTAAGCTGCCTTTCATCCCTTATTCCACCCTCCTATATTTTCAGTGCACACTTTGTCCCTTGCTCCCTATTTATATTAGTCGTGACAAATGCAGGGGTGCCGATATTTTTGGTCATGACTGTATATACAGTCCACCTCTACTGTAGAGCCGGCAGCCAACCGAAAGGTCAGCCCAGTGATTCATGAACTAAAGCACCTCTTTCTTACATCGGTTTTTGCAACCGCTTGTTCGGCTCACTTAGCTCCTGCTGCCTCTCAGGTGCTAAACTAAAAGCCCAAGCACTTGGTAAACAGAATACTGTTGGAATGTCAAAGTCCTGGTGACATATTACTATGTTCTAATGATTGAGTCCCCTTCCAGTATCTGTCTCTCCTTACCAATATTTCTGCTTCCATCCTCATGGAGCAGTCACTTCTCTGGCAGGGGATATTTTGTGCTCCAGCAATGCTACCCCTTAAACTAATAACAATATTATGCAGACAGACATTTATCTATATGACATTAATTGGGACAACTTATTGCTAACACAGAACACTGATGAGAAGTGGGATTGCTTTAAGAATACATTGCATAATACTATTACCAAGTGCATACCATTGAGTAATAAAAATTAAAAGGTCAAGAACTAAGCCTGCATGGTTAAATAAAATGGTAAAACAACATATCAAAGAAAAAAAGCTGGTATTTAAAAACAATATAAGATGGAGGGGACTGCATTAGCATTCCAGAACTACAGGGAATGCAATTAGAGATGTAAACACAATCTGGGCAGCTAAAATAGATTACAAAAAGCATATTGCCACAGTCCATAAGAAGAACCCCAATAAATTCTACCAATATATAAACAGTAAAAGGGTAAGAAAAGAATAGTTGACCCAATAAAAGATGAAAACAGGAGATTAATCACAAACGACAGTGAGAAGGCTGAGGTGTTGAATTCATTTTTCTCCTTAGTATACACTGAGGAAAAAGACGGGTTTAATGGAGATAAGAATGTTAGTAGCTCAGTGCGTAAGATACCACAGTGGTTGACAGTAGCCGGGATTCAACAAAGACTTGAAAAACCTAATGGAAATAAAGCATTAGGACCAGATAACCTGCACCCCAAGGTACTTAAAGAACGCAGCTTGGTTATAGCAAGACCATTATTCCTCATTTTCAAGGACTCTGTAATGACTAGTAGGGTACCAAGTGACTGGCGGAAAGCTACAGTTGTACCAATTTTCAGAAAAGATTCCAGATGTCAACCTGGAAACTACAGACCAGTCAGTCTAACATCAAAAGTATGCAAACTGTTATAGGGAATGATAAAGGACTATTTAGTGGATTGTTTGTGACAATGGTATAATAAATGATGATCAGCACGGATTTAGGAAGGACCTTCGCCAGACCAACCTACTAATATTCTACGAAGAGGTGAGTAGAGAACTGGATGGAGGGAGTCCGGTGGATGCGGTATATCTGGATTTTCCCAAAGCTTTTGATACGGTACCACATAAACGCTTAAAGGAGAACTATGGGGTCAGTGTTTTTCCCCATAGTTCTTAGGGTAACAGGAGGACACAAACTACAGCTCGCGGTATACTGAAGCGCCGGAGCGGATCCCGACCTGGACGTCTGGATCCGCCCAGCTGCGTGAGTGACAGCTGGCTCTGCCTATCTAGAGGCAGAGCCAGCTGTACCCGCCCCCTCCCCCGTCCGTTCTGCCAGTCAGCGCTGGCTGATGGGAGAGGGGAATCCAGCCCCTCCCCTTGTCACA